AGAGAACAGAAGTAGCATAGTACACAATATTTATGAGGGAGTAAGAGAGAAGCTAGAGGCAAAAATTTACATCTTAGTTGAATAGACTGACTGGGTGGAAGAGGAACTAACAGAGATTGGCTGTTGGTGGGAGAAAAGATAGAGAGAGAACCCAGGAAAAAAGAAAAGTGAGAGGAAGAATATAAACAAAGAAAAAATTTAAAATGGAACAATACAACAAAACTGCAAAATACCATTCATATATCACCATCTTCCACACATTGATGCATAAAAAACAACCTGCTCCAAATATGGTACAGATGTTAGAGAATAAAAAATAAAATAAATCTTGATGGAAAATTAAACTGTCTCTGTCCTGGCTCAAAACTTTCTCAGGCCTGTCTCTGATGTCTCAGGGGATTTCAAGGCCCAGATCAGCCCTTGCAGACTCAGTCACTATCCCATGGATCTGGATTTCAGGTACCCAAGGCTCAGCCACGCTGCAGTCCCAAGATCTCAACAGTTGCTCCAACTTGCAGAGAGACCACCAGGGATATGCTCACATAAAGGAGCGACCCTGAGAAGCAGCAGCAAGATGGGGACCACCAGCACTACCAGCAGGAAGACCCCAAGCACAGCAAAACCCACAGGCACTCCCATACTGGACCGCCACATCCCGGCCAGAGTCCCCAGACAGAGGCAGCTACAGCAGCAAACCTGCTGGCATCCTGGCCCCGCAGGCCCTGGCCAACCTCCCAAGATGGATGCTGCCACATGCAACCAAACCTGGAGTCTCCCTGGCAGTAGACCTCTGGGGAGTGGTGTTAGTGATAGTGGTGGGGGTTGGTGGCAGCAGATGGTGCATCAGTGGCAGTTGTAGTGGGACAGTAGCAGCAGAGGCTGCAGCTGCAGAGACAGCATCACCCAGGAAACCTCGGGGTGTTGACAGTAGTGGTGTAGGGAGCAGCCTTGCCCAGAAAAAAGGCCTCCAGCTTGGCAGGGGCATCCGCCCCCATGCAATTTCATTTATAGGATTATCCTTGTCCATACCTGTCTTGGTGCCAAGACATCCATATTCTCCTGCTCCTATATTTTGGTACCTCTTATTCTTTAGACTTTGTTATGGTTTGGATGTGAGGTGTCCCCCCACAGCTCCTGTGTTGATGCAGGAATTTTCAGAAGTGAAATGATTATATTGCAAGAATTGGAACATAACCAGTCAGTCCATCCTAGTTGAATAGATTGACTGGGTGGTAGCTGTAGGCAGATGGAGCATGGCAGTAAGAAGGAGGTCAATGGTTGCACACCCTGGAAGCATTGGTTTTACCTGTGGTTACTCTCTTCCCCCCTTCCCTGCTGTAATGAGTTAAGCAGCTCTCCTCTGCTATGATATTCTGCCTTACCTCCAGCATAGATTGATGAGACTGGCCAACCATGAACTGAACCTCTAAAACTATGTTTATACAGCCTTCAGTTGTGGAATGGGAAATATCTACCACCATCCCACCTCCCAATTCTCAGGCCTTTGGATTTGGACTGGGACTTAAACCATCAACTTCCATGGTTTTCCTTCCTTCAGACTCAGAAGGGCCAAACCTTTGGAGAGTTTAAAGCCTTCATGATCCAATCACTTCCCCAAATCCCCAACTCTGAACATTGTTATACTGTGACCAAGCCTTCATTCAACACATGATCTTTGGGAGCTCATGACCTAAACCATAGCAAAGTTTGAGAAGACCCAGTTGAGCTGGGGATACCTAGGCTACAGATTCTGATGAGTCTTAACCAGAATGAAGGCTTCCCATAGGCAGTGAATGCAGCTTGTGATTCCCTGCAAAATTAGCTTCCCAATCCCAGTGGAAGTGGACTCCCCAACCCAATGGCAGCAGCACCCCCACCCACAGTGGTAGCAGCTTCATCAATCACAAATGGTGCTGGGAAAACTGAAAATGCATATGCAGCAAAATGAAACTAAACCCCTATCTTTCAGCATGCACAAAACTCAACTCAAAGTGGATCAAGGACCTAGGAATCAGACCAGAGACCCTGCACCTTATAGAGGAAAAAGTAGGCCCAAATCTTCATCACATCATATTAGGCCCCAACTTCCTTAACAAGACTCCTAAAACACAAGAATTAAAATCAAGAATCAATAAGTGGGATGGATTCAAACTAAAAAGCTTCTTCTCAGCAAAAGAAATAATCAATGAGATGAAGAGAAAGCCTACATTTGGGGAGCAAATTTTTGCCACACACATATCAGATAGAGCACTAATCTCCAGGATATCTAAAGAACTCAAAAAACTTTACACCAAAAAATCCACATAACCTAATCAATAAATGGGCTAAGGAGCTGAACAGACACTTCTCAGAAGAACATATACAATTGATCAACAGATACACTGAAAAATGTTCAACATATCTAGTAATTAGAAAAATGAAAATCAAACCTAAGATTTCATCTCATGCCAGTCAGAATGGCAATTATAGAGAATACAAGCAAAAATAACTGTTGGCAAGGATGTGGGGGAAAAGGCACACTCATATATTGCTGGTAGGATTGCAAATTGGTGCAACCACTCTGGAAAGCAGTATGGAGATTTCTTAGAAAACTATGAATAAAACCACCATTTGACCCAGCTGTCCCTTTTCTGTCTATACCCTTGTGGGGAGCCACTCTGAATGACCCACACCTTCCATCCTGAAGCAAGAGGCTCTTACCAATCACTACATTTTGTGGTGGCTTGGCGTTGTCCCAGCCCAGGAAGTAGAAGGCGTGTCTTCAGGAGCTACACTCACCTATTCCTTTGTAATACTACCCCTTTGCCCTGTGTGGGATAGAATGTTCCATGGAAATGCTCTTTGTGTGTCTCCTTCTCTTGCTCTGCCTTTGGGTGTGGCCTTCCTACATGTCAGTCAACCTGCTGACAGCAGACATCATGAAGCTAGACTCAGCCCCCTGAAATATGACCCCTTGCCTCATTTGAAGGCTTCTCCTTAATAAAAGAGTTCAGCACATGCTCGCTCTCTCTCTCTATGTCTCTACTTTTCATAGATCCCTAAGGTCAGAGAAGCCATCACAGGACCCAAAGAAAAAGGTTTCTCTGTCTCTTGTGTGATTATTTCATGCAACCCAGTTCACCTGGAGTGACCCTGAGTGTTTTAGTTGTGAGGAACCTGACATACCCTAAAGACTTAAAAACAGCATACTACAGTAACGCAACCACTTCAATGTTTACAGTGGCACAATTCACAATTACTAAACTGGGAACCAACCTAGATGCCCTTCGATAGATGAATGAATAAAGAAATTATGTTATATTTAAACAATGGAATATTACTCAGCATTAAAAGGGAATAAAACTATGGTATTTGCAGGTAAATGGATGGAGTTGGAGAATATCATGCTAAATTAAATAAGCCAATCTCAAGAAACCAGGGGTTGAATGTTTTCTCTGATAAATGGATGCTAATCCATATGGGGGGCATGGAATAAGTGGAGAAACTTGGGATGGAGCAGAGGGAAGGGGTGGAAGGCAAAGGGGCCGAAAAGATGATGGGATGAGACGATCATATTTACCCTAGGTGTATATATGTATGATGTGCGAACGATGTGACTTCATGCACAACCATAAAAGTGAAAAATTCTGCTCAATTTGTATAAAAAAATAAATAAACAAAAAGTTTAAAAAAAAAAGTATGACACTATGGGAGGCCACCCTGCCCACGGGCTGAGCATCCTCTCTCAGCCTTGAGTAAGGCAGGTGTTTGGTCCAGCATCACACGCCATGCACTGTGCAAAGAAAGTGGCCTCCACCTTCACTCGGCAAAGACGTTTGCTCTCGCCCTGGACTTGGGCGTTACCAATGGGATTCGATAACTCCCCTTTGAAACCCTATCCTCTGCCTTATTTAGTGAAGAACAACATTCCATTGAGGCTTCTTTGTGTGTTCCCCCCATAAAATAAAGACATTCTAGGTGCACACTCTCTTGCCTTCCAGCGTGGAAGAGGACCCTTGAGGTTACAGAGCAGTCCCACCCTCAACCTGAGAAACTCATGTCTGCGTGTTGCATGATTTCTTTGCTGTTTTCTTATCTTAATGTTGCAGCCAGCTCTTTTGAACCCAGCTCATCTTGTAAGAGTGGGCAGCTGGTGAGACATTACATTACCAAAAAAAATTGCTTTGAGTTTTTTCATTTATACTGCAGAAATACAAGGAACATGTGTATGAATGGATACCCAGACTATGGTAATGGTATAAGGTACATAAAATCAGGCCAAATTTCTTGATATAGGCTCACTATGATGATACTACATTTAATATGGCAACCCAGGGATTTAAAAGGTCTCTATTGGTTGGTTGGTCAGATGAAATATGGACCAAAAGATCAACCACCACAAGCAAATTGGAAAAGCCTAACCTCCTTTAGCTTAATGTAGATAAAAATGTCTCAGACTTGGGACTACTGGATTGTTAGAGTGGATTTGTGATTTAAGACCTACTTGCTTACACTGGGAGAATCCAAAAGACATAACTTCACAGCCTCTCAATGGGTTCCCAGACTTGAGCCAGTTTGTAGACTCAGAATCCTTGAACAAGGACAGGCTGAATCCCCTGCAGGAAGGACCCCAAAACCCTAATGAAAATTTATGCTGTTAATTTTTCTCCCAATCTTCCCCCAAGGGACTTACAGCCCTTGAAAAGGCCAAATATGGATGCGGTAGGGAGGGGGAGATAAACAGATCTTTCAGAGTGGCTTTCAGAGATACTAAGTCACAATGGCCCTTTAGTAGAAGGGGATTATGGAAGTCAGGTTGTCACAAGAAAACAGGGAACTGAAACTCCAAACCTTGGATCTTGCTTTCTGACGACAGAAAATTTAAAGTCAGACACCAAAAGTCATGCAAGAGAACTCTATTATAAGTGAAAGTAAAGTAAAAGCAAAGTGAGGCTCAAGCAGAGAGCACTCGCAAGAGAGAGCGAGGGCCATCTCTAAGCAGAGAAGGACAAAGGACACAATGCTGTCTCCATGTTTATTACTTTTGATGTTTACCAGGAGAACTGTGGACCACATTCTGTACTCTCTGCCAATCAGGTGTTTAACTCCTCCTTCCAGCAGGCAGTGGAGTTTTTGTCTACAGGGAAGAAAGAAGGTGGGGGATCCATAAAAAATCAAGACACCTCCACTCCCACAGGCACCAGCTCTGGATCCCTCCGTTCTGTTTCTTAAATAGAACTTATTTTTTATGCTTGCCACAGCATTTCTCAGGTGTTTAATCTTCAACACCAGGGGAACAAGGACCCAATCCTGTTTTCCAAGATTAGGATCAGTGACATTCCATGTCACTCTCGCCAGAAGCGACATCCATATTCTGTTCACTATAAGCAAGTCACTGGATCCAGCCCTCACTGGAGAAAAGGTGATTACCCAAGGGCATGAACGCCAGGAGGGGCAGATCGTTAGCAGTCATCTTCAGGGGTCAGGGTTAGAACCCCAGTGCCTTGAAGCTACAGCAAGTAATGCTGGGAATAGATCTGAATCTTTACCCTAGCCTGAGGAGTTGAGGAGATCTGTGGTACTAACACAGACAAGGGTCCCTGGAACACACGCATCCACGCATACACAAACGTGCACACATACTCACATACTTCCGGAAGCTGAGGTAAGTGCTTCCTCCTTCAGCCTCAGATCTGAAAACAGACGGTCATGGAGGGCCTGAAGAATCATGCGGACAACTGGGCTGTAGGAGTGTTCTTCGATAAACCACAAGAGAGTCAGCCGCAAATATGTTCTGTGCTATGGACCTCTCTCCTCTTCCTGTTTGTGGGTAAGTCCACATTATGGCAACCATCACCTGTTAGTGGAATTCCTTGGAGGCTTGTAACATTTCCTGCCTGAAAGATTCTCATTTGATAAAAATCAAGAAACTCACCTCCTTTTGGTGATTACTCTGTGGATTCCACTTTATTTTGAGTTCTGTTTGTGTGTGTGTGTGTGTGTGTGCATTCACACACCATGAAGAGGCGATTTTCCTAGCCTCAGTCTCAAACAACTCTGGGCTCAAACTAGTTCTTCTCACCCTCACATTTCCTGCCAAGAAATGCTGTTATGAGAAATGCTAAGTTATGAGTTATGAGTTTGTTTCTGGTACAGTGTGGATACATCCACCAAAAGATGCAGGGAAGTTCTGCTGATGAAAAACCACCTGGCAATTCCCTAAAGAGGGGTCACCACTGCTAGACCTTCTTTCCACTTGCTGTCTTATTTTCCACATATCCTGTACTACTAAGACTTCACTGAGAATCTGGAGGTGGTCAGGGACCCTGAGCAAGGTAGCCTCTGTCTGGATAACCTTTTTTCCCCCCCACATTCTTCCTCTCCATCAAGTCCCAACTTTTGGGCTGGGCATGGTGGTAATGCCTGTAATCCCAGCAACCCAGGAGGCTTTATGATGATATATATAAAGTGCTTGGTGGAAGCTATGATTGTTGTTGTGATAATTACTGTTTTGTACATTCTTTGAAAGCAATTAAGGGATGGGTAAGTCATATGTAGTTATTACAATCTTTGAACCCTCCTTTTGTATTGGTCAAATGGTACTGTTCAAAAAAAGTGATGTTGTCACTATGCTGGGAGCTACATGGCACTGTTTTGTGAAACCCACATCCTGCTCCTTCTTCTGACAGCCTAAGAGGCTTTAATGTGAGAAGATATGAATTCAAAGTGGGTTATATGCACCCAGCCAAGACCCAGCATCTTCTGGGCTTCCAAGATAGGAGTGATTAATTTCTTTAATTTCTTTAAATTTTAGCTCCTTGTCTGTAAATAAAGATAATTCTGAAGCCGCTGGGTTTTCAGAATTCGTCTCATCCTCCTTCCTCCCCTCCACAATATATTTGTGCCTCTCCTCTTTCTCTATCTTCTATGTATTTTTCTACCTAGAATTCCTGGAATAGCCTGGGTCTTGAACCTACCTGATTTTGTCTACAGTTTCCAGAGTTCTAGCAGAGCCTGAGAAACCCAGAGCTCTGGGAACCCAGGGTAGGCCATACAGCAGATGTCAATAAGGTGTCTAGGAGAAAATGAGCTGCACTAGCCAAATGCCAGGCTCTGGTCAGCCTTGGAAACCAGGTTTTATCAGAAATATGCTTCTTCTCTAAAATGATAAAATCAGGAGCCTGCATCAATGATATCAATTATTCCTAACCCCCAGACTTAGCCAAAGTCAGTCTGAGATCCCCTGGACAATGAGGGGAAAGGTAGGCTGAGACAGAGGTGAGGAAACTCATTTTATTTTCAACACTTGGTTATGAAAATTGTCAAACACTCAGATAAATTGAAAAGATTTTGCAATGAGCACTCACAGGCCTCCTACCTAGATTCTACCCTTATACCACTCTCCTATCCTTCTCACCATCCACTAGGCATCCATCTACTCAAATTGTTTTTAAAAGAACTTTACCCATTCTTTCCAATTCACAGCAACTGCTTTCATTTAATTTTTACCATATTCCTTGAGGAAGGTGATGCAGACTGGAGCCCTTCAATCCTGTAGATAAATAAACTTGATTCTCAGAAAAATTCTGAAATGCACCCAAAGTCACAAGGCTAATTCCCCTGTTAGGACAGAAACATAAAAGTTCTGTTTTTCTGGTTGCTGTAGCTACTTTCATGGGGGAAAGTGTTCGGTGAATGAATGAATGACTTTGTTAGGCACTGGACCTAAAAAAGGAAACTCGTTTCATTTCTCACATGTAGCATTTTTGCCTGAAACGTTTGTTGATGAGTGAATGAAGGCTGGGGCTTGAGGATTCCAGCTGCTCCTCTAAATCCTTCTTCTGTCTCTGCAGGACTAGGAGCCTCTGAAAAAGACTCAACCCCAATGGTGGTATCAGGGATCCTAGGGGGGTCTGTGATCTTCCCCCTAAACATCTCAGTAGACACAGAGATTGAAAACGTTGTCTGGAATGGCCTTGATGAAGCTCTTGTCTTAGCATATCCTGGAAAACATCCGATCTTTTTGGTCAAAAGCTCTGAGAGCCGAATAAACATCAGTGGAAGCTACTCCTTGTACATGAGACACCTAACCCAGAAAGATGAAGGATCCTACAAAGCTCAAATAAACCGAAAGAATTCTAAAGTCACCACTAAGAAGGAATTCATCCTGCATGTCTATGGTGAGTTCTAGAGAGCTTGTGTGGATTTTGACCTTTTGTTTTTAAAAACAGATTTATTTGTCTCTCTAGGATAAATATGACCACTATATTGGTTATTTTAACCCAATTCCATAGACACTGATATCAAGAGTGGAAAACATAACCATAAAATCCTTACGTGTTATAAAATTGCCATAATTTATGTAACCGATCTCTTACTTGTAAACATTTAGATCATTTCCAATCGTTTCCTCTGACAAACACTGCTTTAATGAATATTCCTGTGGACCTGTATTTTCATGTGTATGTGAGTGGGTTATATTCTGAAAGAAAATCTATAGGATTGCTACGGTTTGGACATGAGGTATCCCCCAAATGCCTCTGTTAATGCAGAAATATTCAGAGGTGAAATTATTAAATCATGAGAGCTGTATCTAATCAGTCCACTCTAGTTTGAACAGACTGACTGGTTGGTAACTGTAGGCAGGTGACATGTGGCTAAAGGAAGTGGGTCACTGGAGTCTGCCGTGTGAGGATGCAGCCCCTGCTTCACCTCCCACTCCTGCTTGCTGACTCCACTGGCCTTTCCCCCATGACGTATTGCCTCCCCTCAGGCCCAGAGCAAGGGAGACTGCCATCTATGGACTGTGATCTCTGAAACCCAAATAAAACTGGTCGTCCAACAACAAAAAAAAAATTACTGAAAACAGGGATATATTCGTGGAGGCAAGTCGCTGAGTTAAAAAGTGCATGCATTTTCTTTTTAATGTTGCTAGATATTTCCTGAGGCCTCCTTGGCTCTTAGATGGCTGCCCTTTCACTTTGTTCTCATATAGGAGTTCTTCTATGTTGTCCGTGTCCTAATCTCCTCTTCACATAAGGACACTAGTCATTTTGTATTAAGGCTCACCCCAACAACCCCATTTCAACATAATTGCCTTTTTAAAAGCCCCATGTCCAAATGCAGTCACATTCTGAGATACTGGTATGAGAACTTTAACATGGAGTTGGGGAGGACAGATTCAGTCCTAACAACTCTGGCCTCTGGTCCCCCAAAATTCATGTCCTTCTCATATGCAAAATACACGCACCCCGTCTGAACAGCCCCTTAAGTCTTAACCCATTCCAGCAGCAACTCTAAATCCAAAACCTCATCTGAATATCTTTGAAATGGGGTATGAATGAGACTTGAGGTACTATTCATCCTGAGGCAAAATTCCTCTGTGGTTGCGAACCTGTGAAACAAGTTAACTACTTCCAAAAAACAATGTTGGGACATCATAGGACTGACACTACCATTCAAAAGAGAAAAAATGGAAAGTAGAAAGGGGTTACTGGCCCCAAGGAAGTCTGCAATCTAGCAGGGCAATTTCCATTAAATTTTAAGGCTAAAGAACAATCCTCTTTGGCTTCGTGCTCTAGGCCCACTGGGGTGACCGCCCCATCCCCTCGGCCCTGGGCATCAAGAAGAAAACTGCCCAACCCTATCCCAGGCCTGTGTCCTCTAGGCCTATGGTGACAGTGGCAGCTCTGACAACCTCTGAACTTTTGTGTTATTCTTTTCCTTACTACAGTAGAGTTCTATCGACTTCGTTCAGAAGTCTGACAGCCTTCCTTTGCTTGTCCTGTAACTGTCCCCTCAGTCCAAGCTTGTGGCATGCGCCAAAATACCCAAGAAAAAACAATTTAAAGGAGGAAAGGGTTGTTTTTTTTTTTTTTTTTTTGGGGGGGGGGGGTTGGGGGTTTTTTGTTTTGTTGTTTTGTTTTTGGCTCATGGTTTCAGAGATATCAGTCACTTGGCCCCTGCTGCTGTGAACTTGTGGTGAGGCAAGGAAGCTGTGGCGGTGCTCTCCTCCTGCTGACCAGGAAGCAGAGAGGGGCTGGGATGAAGAATGCAGGAACAAAATAAACTCTTCGAGACACACCCCAGTGGCCCACCTCTTCCAATCAAGCTTTGCCTTCTAAAGCTTCCACCCTTCCCAACAGCTCAATCAGATCAGGGACAAGCCTTCAGCACGTGAGCTTTTAGGGACATTCCAGATCCAAAATATAACACAACACTTCTATATAGTTGATTGGATCCATAAGTCACTCTCATAACCTATTAAGCAAGCATTGTCCAGCCACATGCTGTGTTTCCTCCAAACACACTTTCTTAATTTTTGCAATATGAATAGCTGAAAATTTCCCAAATCTTCAAGTATCTGGTTTCATCTTGTGTAATAATTCCTTCTTCAATGTATCTCTTTCCTCTGACATTTTGTGTAAACAGCAGGTACTGATACATGCAGTACCTTCAATATTTTACTTAGATAAGTAAATATATTATTTCTAAAATAATATATGTTTTATCCTCAGCTAAATACCCATGTTAGTCATTTAAACTTTCTGTTTTCCACAAAACACTCAGGTGGCATAGGTAACTTTATGTCCCCTAGTTTCCACAAACATATTCCTCATTTCTGTCTGAGACCTCACCAGAAGCACCTTAAGTATTTATATTTCCACCAACATTCCATTCAGGATGACTCATAAGTAGCTCTAGGATAATAGAAGATTTTCCTACAGCTCTCTTGTTTTCTTTC